TTATTTCCTAAAACAAACATTAAAGGCAGCTCAACTCCATAATTTCTATGGAGTTGATGATTTTGTCATTACGTATCAATACATGATCGGTGGGATTAACTAGCTCGTTCTGGGCACAGGCAGGATTTATTTTTGAGCTTAAAAGTTAATGTTGGTCTAGAGGTGCATTAAAAGTTGATCGCAAACGCTGCCATTGCACATGCGCACTATAGATCTGGATTAAAATTCAATACTGGTTTAATTTTTTATAGGACATACAAAAGACGCTCTAAGTTAGCATTTCCCGTGGTGTCCGAACGCCAGCGGCGGCTGCCGGCGGTCACTGGCGTTTTTAAAGTGTGGGCCTACGTCTAGGTAAGCCGTTGAGCTGGGGCCAGATACACAAACGCGCCCGAGTGCTTCTACAGCCCATAAATACACAGAATAAGGGAACAGCCACGTTGGTACAAGTTCAGGCGCCGTATAAAGGGCGCCTTAATTTGGGGTGCAGCCGTAACGGGATACAGCGAAACAAATGTTTTTTTTAGCCTAAGAACAAGCAGTGCAATCTTACAAGTTGTGTTTTACATAATTATAGTGTTTTTCAGGTGTGCATGAAGCAGGTGTGATATTCCTTTATAACTGAGTTATTTTCGCCTGTAGGTGTGTATCTCATTCCAACCCAAGTGTCGTATCTGTAAACAAGGCAACTAGCATAATTACTGTCTTCACCTCGAATGTATTTTTTTAATGTCTTTATTAGTATTACTGATAATATGCTGTTCATATAATTACTTTCATTATTATTTTCATCGTTTGAGGAGTGGGGATCATGAGGATTCTGAGAAAAAAGTGATGTAGTTATGCCTTCAAAACTCATTCTAAGTAGTGTTTGTTAAGCTGGCAATAGGTAGGAAATTCAGAGTATACTAAAATTACCCTAGTAATTTTAGTTATCCTCTAGAGGAGACAATACCGTGTTCCTATATTTCACGATATGCTTGCATTCCGATAAGATAAGTATTTTTATTTGTGAATCTTGTATATTTCTGCTTTACTAATTTTAAGAAGATATTAGTTAAAATCTAAGTATGACGGGCTTGACACAGCTGCTATGTTTGGTCACTGAAGATCTGACACCGTAAGTGATCAGCTAATGGACATTCTCTGCATAGTTACATCGGAAACTGCATTATGGTCTTTTTATGACGCGCGCATTCACACAAGCGATGAGAACCATGGAACCTCTCCGGCAAAAGTTAGTAAACACAGGCGTTGGCGATAATATAATTATACGTTAATATAATTATACATTCATGCATACATACATACATATGTATACATATATATATATGTATATGAATATATGTATACACATATACGACAGTATATAGTATATGTATAAGTACACACACACGCGCGCATGTATGTATGCATGTATGTATATATGTATGTATGTATGTATGTATGTATATATATGTATGTATGTATGTATATGTCTATATATATAATATATAATATATATATTATATATATATAATATATATATATATATATATAATATATATACATAGAGTATATGTGTACACACAGAAATTAGGATTTACTGCTTTGGAAGAAAGGAGAAGTGGGGATATGATTATGCTGTTTAACTATGTTATAAGAAGAGTGTGAAGGTAGACAAATACGACTTCATAATTTTGAACACAAGAAGGACGACAGGACACAGTAAAAAGTTGAAAGTAAAAAGTGGACCATCTGAGCTCAGCTCTTCTTCCGTGTTGAATCACCTAGGTAAGAACATATATGTATGTGTGTATATTTAATATGTGTGTAAATGTATATGTACACACACACACATATATATGTATAGATATGTATATAATAACATGTATATACATATAATATATATATATTATATATATAAATAATATATATATATATATATATATATATATATATAATATATATATATATATTATATCACACACATATACACACTGTAAACTGTAGTTGGGGGAACGGAAAAAAACGTAGTTATGTAATGAAACAGTTGCCTTGTATTTTTTCATAATAGATGCAACATATATATTTATAATTTTTTTTTCATAATAGATACAATAAAGTATTTAGCCTATTATTTTATATTACATATACATCAGACTGTCTCTTCAAATCGTTCCTTAATATAAATATACTTATTTTGCATTATTATTGTGATTATCAATTAAAACATGATTGGAACAAAAAGAGCAGCGGAAAATTTGCCAGCGAAAACGAGTTATCGTGTGGCAAAATTATCGCATTCTGTCAAATGCCAGCAGTAGTAAAAAAGAAAGAAAGAAAACGTCAAAGATCCACGGAAACGTTGATAGTGTGGCTACCCTTTGTCCACGATACGGTGCCATAGCCGCGGCCACGCTAACCCTTGGTATAGGGGGGCCCCTAAAGGTGCTGTCACACTAGTACTTTTACGTCAATTTTTTGACAGATTTTCTGAAATTTTGTCCATTTTTGAGCGAATTGTCGATTTTCCAGTCAGACAATAATGATCGTTTCCGTCTGAAAACCTTTCCGTCAACTTTCTCAGCCAAGCATAATCAAATCAAGAGCTATATTCGAGAATGTTTATTTATGTTAAATAAAATTGTCAAAAAAATTGACGGAAAAAGTGCTAGTGTGACAGCACCTTAAGTTTAGGGTGATTTTGCCCAGCTGTCTGTCGGGACTGATCGCTTCTATGGGAAGGCGAAGATTTCCTGCTCATGCTATATTATGTTTTTTTTTCTGTAATTGCATATACAAATGAGGAGACACTTGAAAAACGGGCTGCAATACAAAAGGAGATATTTGTCAGTAAGCCAAGTTAAGCTGTACCAAAGATGTTTCAATAAGGACGTTGTTATTTTCTTCAGTCAGGTCAGGTCGAAGGGCTATGCGAAGGGTAACCGACTTAAAGAGAAAAGCAGAGGATGTGGAAAGCGAAGTAGGAGGCAGGAGAAAATCCGCTGTTCATTTTGAAAAGCAGCAGCTTGATCAAGGAAGATTCCACTAGTCTGCGTGCATGGACGTCGGCTGAAGGGAAGATAATGCGCGCAACTAACCCATCTATCCCACGGTCTGTGAGCCATAGAAGAGTTATTATTGTTCCCTGGATACGGCATATTTATGTTGTGACAGACGCTTAGTGAGACTGGCGCCTGTCTCGCCGAAGTACTGCTTATCATAAGAAGCACAAGGAACAGCATAAGAGCCCTCCTTCGAGGTAGATGGAGGGCTAGTGTGGAACCAGGTTGCCACGGAGGATGTTCATCTGGCGAAAGACAAGCCTGCAGTTGAGAGTGTGTAGTGTAGGGCAGCCTGAGGACGTTTAGGTGAGGAGTCTCTTTAGAAGAGGAGTCCTACATATGTACATTTATATACATATGTACACACACATATACATTATACGAGTATACACATTTATTTCTCTCTCTCTCTCTCTCTCTCTCTCTCTCTCTCTCTCTCTCTCTCTCTCTCTCTCTCTCTCTCTCTCTCTCTCTCTCTCTCTCTCTCTCTCTCTCTCTCTCCCTCTCCCTCCCCTCTCTTTCTCTCTTTCCTCTCTCTCTCTCTCTCTCTCTCTCTCTCTCTTCTCTCTATATAATATTATATATATATATATATATATATATATATGTGTGTGTGTGTGTGTGTGTGTGTGTGTGTGTGTGTGTATGTGTATAGATATATGCATATGTATATGTATATTATATATATATACATATATATACATATATACATATATATATACATATATATACATATACATATATATATATATATATATATATATATATATATATACATACATACATACACACACACACACATATGTATGTATATATATATATATATATATATATATATATATATATATATATATTTTTGTGTGTGTGTGTGTGTGTGTGTGTGTGTGTGTGTGTGTGTGTGTGTATGTATATATGCATATATGTGTGCGTGCATGCGTGGTCGTGTATATTTTTTATAATTTGTTTCTGACATACAAGGTAACAAGGTAGATAGTAAATGAAACCGATAATGTGTATTGTTCATAGAGCTCTCAGGCGATTTATTTCCAAAGAGGAAACAGTCATAACTCTAATTTGCTAGAAATGTCACATCTATTCTTCTTTCATGCAAGAGTTTAATTCATTCGTCATGAGAATGTCGCAATATATGTTTGATATGATATTAATCAGGAGGGATATAGAAACAAATGAACTCCTCTCATGTGCTGAATTTTGAATTGAATGATATGCAAGGTTAAGACTGATACGACAGTGTCATCGCATCTGTCCTAGCTGGGTCTCACGGACTTAAGTCATAGAAAAGAAGACCTAGTATTATCTTGGCTGAAAAATACCTCCCTCAGTAAACTGTATGCGCTAGCAAATTACACACGCACTGTCGTTTAGGGCCAGTCTAAGAAGAGCATTAAGGTACTGCAACGGTAATACTCAAAGAAACATTACACAGAGTGGGTAATATATATAGCTGAACCACTCCCGAAAACAGTTTCTTTCACAGCATATCTTCATTTTAACTATCAGAGTTGAAAGGGAAGTATCTGGTATTATTTAAAGAAGGTCTATTTAAGTAATATCCAATCTGAAGCACTGTAGATAAGCATTAGACTTACCAGAGATACTGTTTGTAGCCCCTTTATGATCCTAGTTTCTTAAGTTTGTTTACTAGGGGGTTTCCATGTAGCACATGCCATTGAACAAATCAACAAATATGAGAGGAAGAAGTGGTAAGATTCCCTACGAGCTGTTATCTATATATACAGCAATACTGTATAAAAAAAAATGAGCATGTCATACATTTTACGTTAAAATCATGCTAGATAAGATTGTTAATTCACTGGATTTTATGCAGACCAGATTTCCTCAGACTTGTACTGTGTTGTAAGTTTTTTTGTAGTAGATATGCGGTTTTATCACATGTCAGCGTTTAAATATTATTGAAAGGAAACATATATATATTTATTTATTTATTTATTTTTTGTGTATACTTACAAAACAAATTTTACTTGGCAAAACCTGTGCATAAATCTCCTACAATTTCGGGAAAAGACGACTTCTGATTACAAATAGTCTTCCATAACATGACTAGACTGTCGTACAAAATTACATTCATTTGCGTGTGTGCGTCCATAACCTACGCCTTGATATTTGTCACAACTACAGTTACTAAATTACTATTAATCTTCGATAAAAAAAAAATGAAGCTCATGGAAGGGTCTAGACATTCCAAGGAAATGATGGAAAGAGACATGTTTAAAAAGTTTTTTTTTTTTTTTTTATTATAAGATATCCTAAATGAAAACATTACGAACTGCACACCCCTTCGCTTTTATGGATCTGTAGGAAGGATTGTAAGTAAGCAGTTCACACGTAATACTTCTACTTCAATTATCATACTTTTTTGGGTAAAATCAATGTACATACAAAATATATATCCAAAGCATATCTTTTCTATCGACAATATCATAAAATTGTTGTATACAAAAAACTTAGGCTGTATGGGCAAGAATACATCATTGTAACTCAAATAAGAAGCAAACATAAAAACTGTCATTTAGAATAATTTAAATCTTTGCCAGAAACGTCCATACACATGTTAATCATTTCTCACATTTTTTTAATACGTTTATTTTGGAAGCCATACTGTATGCAGGTGAGCTACTTCCATTTGTGATCTACCGATGTATATAAAAATTACTATGTTTCCCAATAACCACACGAGGTGCATAGATTTCTACAAAGCATGAGCTGGACCACCGAAAATATCCCTAGTTGTACAGTATGATAGAGAGATAGATAGTTAGATAGAGATAAAAGGAGATAGATAGATGGATAGAGATAAATAGAGATAGATAGATAGATAAAGAGAGATAAATAAATAGGGATATATAGATAGATAGATAGATAGAGAGAGAGAGAGAGAGAGAGAGAGAGAGAGAGAGAGAGAGAGAAGAGAGAGAGAGAGAGAGAGAGAGAGAGAGAGAGAGAGAGAGAGAGAGAGAGAGAGAGAGAAAGAGGAAGAGAGAGAAATGAATCTTGATTTCATTATATCGTACAAGTATAGGCTCAACAGTATATTGTATGTTTCCATTTCATTTTTTTTTTTTTCAAAACAAATACGTTTAAGGCACAAACATTTCACCGCGTCCCCAAGGCCTCGTACAGGTTTCCTCGCCTTATCAGCAATTTATTGCTTAGCGGTCGATTCTGTTGCTAAACCCAGGTGCTAAGATTGTGCCTTCACTCGGCGAGTCCTTGAAACATGCAGTAAATTTGTTTGTGTCATGAATATGATATTTTCACGTTTAACAGTATGTAGTGCGAAACTAAGCTATGGCTATAAAAAAGTTTTCAAAGTATATTTGCATGTGGGTACGATTGCAACTACAGAAAATGTTTAAATTTCAACAGTCATAGACAAAAAAGGAGAGAAACGCTTAAGTTTCAGCGTAGACGTATGCTAACCTAATATAATCTCACAGCTAGTGCCCAGGAGAGTACCAGGGCAACCTGAATGCTGAGACAAGGCAAGAAGGTAGACCCAGCTCCCCTGTACTGCTGGCTCTCAGCGCCGTCAAGGAAGTTTCCAGAAAAATCAGCAGTAGGCGTAACTCCATCAGGTATGCCCTTGGTTGTCCAGGTGAAGCGAGAAGTCGATGAAGTAGTGAAAGGAAAAGTGTTTGAGGGACGGTTGGTTGTGGCGTCAGGGTGTAGTTGATTGTCGTTGTATCCATTGTAATTGTCCTCGTTGCCGCCGTTGCCGTAGGCGTTGGCACCCCCTGCGTTCCCGTGGTGAACGCCAAGGGAGGACCTCGGGCAGTCGCGGTTGTTGGGTCTGTGGAGGGAGGACGGCAAAACTATTGATAACGCGTTAAGGTACTTCAGTACTTTACCGATAATAATAATAATAATAATATTAATAATAATAATAATAATAATAATAATAAATAATAATAATAATAATAATAATAATAATAACAATAACAATAATAATAATGATAATAATAATAATAATGATAATAATAATAATAATAATAATAAAATAATAATGATAATAATGATGATGCTGACGATGATAATGATGATGATTACTATCATTATCATTATCATTATTATTATTATTATTATTTATATATTATTATTATTATTATTATATTATTATTATTATTATTATTATTATTATTATTATTACTACTATTATTATTATTATTATTATTATCATTGCTAACATTGTTATTATTATTATTATTATTATTGTTATGATTATTATTATTATTATTATTATTATT